AAGGAACAAATCCAAGATCATCTTATGAGAATAGAATTAGAAAGATTAAGAAAGTAATATGATTTTTCTTCTTAAATAGGAGTAATTTCAAAGGAGCTGTTAACACTTTCATGTCTGAAACTTTCTTACTGGCAAGAGGGAGAACTAAAGAATCACACAGATTCAAAGACAATTTAGTGGAGCTGTAAGTCTGACACCACTGCTGATACAGTTTAATTGAGGACTAATTGGAACTAAGGAGGCTAGTTATTTTGTCAACTGCACGTGTATTAGTTCCAGTCATTTTTAATCTGATGTAACAGTAATAAAGAGTCTAACTTACTTTGTTTAGTTAATAAAATTAGGCCAGAAAGGATCACCTAGTCATTTCATGTTACCCAATACACTGCTAATATAAACAATGTCTAATTACACTGACTACATACTCCCATGAAATGACCAATTAGAACATTTGCTGATTCTAAGTGTTCACTGTTAGAGACATTTCCACAGGCTTTCTGCTGGTCATATTCATAAATTCTACCCCAGCTGGTAGGAAGCATAAGGACAGAACATGTGAGGAAAAAGTTGTTTTTAAGCACCAAATAGGGCTTTTAAATACTGAGACACGGTGTGCTGTGTTTCCCCACAAAAATAGGTAAAATTAAATTGCACTTTTTTTGGTATTGTCTAGGAGTATGTAATATTGCGCATTTATATACTCTTCTTTGCTGAATCAAGAAGATTATATTGCATGTTCATGATTCATATGATGAGGCATATGTTAGCATTTTAATATTTAGATCGAGAAATTTAGAGTGATTTGTATACGCTTTCAAAGCTCATTTATTGACTGTGATCTGTAGGTGGTATAAATAATACCATAAGTGTCTCTTATTTATTTTTGTTACTTTACTGATGAGTCGATAACTGTCCCCTGAAAACATCAGTCCAGCATGTACCAACATTTTATAGAGTGACACAATCAGACAATGATATTGACAGCAAGTATGTTAAACTCAAATTAAAATCAAAATAGAAAAATACAATAAATGAGAACAATCTCTTCCTTGTCTAAAGAAAAATTGCTGACACTGTAAAAATTGCATTTTTAATGATTGAATGGTTATCTCTTAAGTAATCATGCTGAAAGATTTGCCAGTTATGTTAAAGTAAATAACAGTACATCAGTATGTGCATTGCCAGATCTAATTAACACAAAGTACTAGAAATACTGAAAACAGTGAGACATAGTTATCTGGACAATTTAAAGGAAAGAAATACATTTACAAGGGCTGCAACCAATGCATATAATACAGCCGAATAAAAATTCAATACTGCAAAAGTATCTGAAAGTATCAATGTTAACAACTGCTCTGCAGGTGTCTAAAATGCCTGGCTGCCACACGTCTGTACTGTGCAATCCTTCTCTCACTTAAACGAGTTCAAATGTTGCCACTCAGGTCAGTGGGCTAGCCTGAGGTTCTTTTCCTATTCTTCTTAGACTATGCCTTAAACATTACTAATCTACTCACATGAAAGTTTTTTTCTTGGAATAAAAGGCAGCAGGACAATCCACAGATCTGACCACTAGAATTGTTTGAGAGAATTAAAATGTAACTTAAAAATCACATCATGTAAATAATTACCATTTGCTCAAAGAAAAATTAACAAATGTTCTTTTAAATGAATTGGTATATGCTGAATGTGTGCTACATTGTCTTATCCAGGATATTTAAAAATGAAATATATCATAAACTTTGTCTTATTGTAATTAGATTAATAAAAGGGAGTAATTAAAAGACTCTTACTTTTTTTGTAAGAGCTAGAAATTATTAAACTATCCAGAAAAGAATCAAAGCTTTTGCATAAAAAAATCATTCTTTGAGCTGAATTGCAATAAATCAATAAGAATGTTATTGTTCAATAGGCAATAATTGTCTTCATATAAACTGAAAATATTGTTTGGGATGATTAATATACAATGCTGCATTATGCATTTGGGAGTGTCAATGCATAATTTTTAGTTCTAATGTTATTATGTAATTGAGAGAACATGTTCATTTGCCCTAATAACTACTAAGATGCACTTAATAAAATGAAATGTAATAATACTTGTAATTTAATCTATTCATAGAAGTAATTTTAAAAGTCTACTATTCTCCTTAATGTGGATAACATTCATAATTTATAAAGTGTTGTGATGCAGAATTGACAATGCCATTGTTTTTTACACTTTGAGATGATTCTGCAGCCTTCATTATCTGCATACCAACCTCAGGATTATCAAGGGCAAACAAAAGATAATTAACACCAGAAACAGGCAAATGCAGGAGCTACTGAGTGAGGTTTTTCATTTAATGCAGAACCTTTGAAAACTGGGAAATGGAATAACTATTCAAAACCTTTTTTTTTCCACATTGCAGAAAGCTATTTCAATATGTTTTCTTTTCTATGTTTTAAATGTCATTTTTTGCTATAAAACTATATTGGCATGTTCAACCTCAGATACATTCAGTAAATGAATGTGTTAAGACAAGTATTTTTTCAAAGTACTGAGTGTTAATTTTCTGAGTGGATTTTTTGTCTAGAGCAGCAGACAGGTAACTATCGTATACATATTCAAATTCTATAGCTTCACTTGCCCATAGCATGTCTGTAAATAAGTTACTTTACTTCTCCATGTCATGCACAATGCTCTAAGACAGGGATGAAAACTTCTACTACACAAATGTGATTAATGCATAGGGTGTATTTTTATATGTTAATACCTTGTAGGAAAAAGCACATGAGACTGCCTATGGCATTTTTATGTGTACTCGCAGCAGAACAATAAAGGTTTACTAAATACTGATATAAGTCCAAGACAGTATATTTCAATCAGTGTGAATCACTGAAACTTTTCCTCCTTTTTGCACAAGGACTCCTGACTATGCTTCTGCACTGCATTCTGAATGGTTTGCCATATAACTAATCATTTCAGAAATTAATCAGTGAAGATCCTCCACAAAGAGAGCCTTTTGAATGCAAGGCAAAGAAGCATTGTAGCATTAGACTCTTATCTCTGAATGAACATCCTTCTACAAATGGTCCAGGCAAAGCCATTTTATAAATGGAAATGCAGGACAGTGACGTGCAGAGTTTCGCACAATTTACATATGTTGGTGACAGTCCAACTCTCCGCCCTTTACTTACATGAGAAATTCATGGGGAATGTGATTATTAGCCTATGAGCTATCCATGAAAGATTCAATCATGTGTGTTTAAATGGCATGATATATTACCATACCTTCACTTTTTACATTTTAGAACTGAAAATACCTGATAAGTAACTGATCCAAAAATTATATGCAAACAGCAGGAGTTTACTTTCGGTGGGCTGACAGCACTCTGCACAGGGGTGAGGGTTAGCACCTTCAGAGTCAAGTTGCAAGGCAACTCAATGAATCTTGTTCTCTTCCAGAAGATTTGATGCCAGTTATAGCGGTATCTTCACTATTAGGATTGTCCCTCATTTCTACTGCCCTAACCCTTTTCCTCTGGTCCTGACCCAAACTGGACAATGAAAGGCAGCAGGGAGGGACTGAGGGCAAGGCCCCAGCACTCTCTCCATGTCCTAGGTTCAGTTCTGACAGCCAGACAGGTCAGAGTATTTAAATGCATAAAATCATGCCAGCAACTGCATGGTTGATGGTAAGCTCACTATGAGGCAACAACATGCCCCGGAGGCCAAAAGGGCCTGGGGTATCCTGGGTATGCTAAGCACAGTCTAGCTAACTGGTCAAAAGAAGTTGTCCCACTCTGCTCAGCACTGATGTAGCCTCACATTGAGTACTGTGTGCAGTTTAAAGCTCCACAACGTAAGATGTATATAAAAATATTATAATGAATCCAAAGGAGGACAATGAAAATGGTGATAGGGCTAGAGGGCATGACTTATGAGGAGCATCTGAGGTTACTTCAATTATTCAGCTTAAAGAAGAGGAGACTGAAGGGTGATCTCATCGCTGTCTCATGAGGGAGAGTGGAGATGGATGTGCTGATCTTTCTGGTGTCTGGTGAGGGAATGGCTTAAAGCTGCATCAGGGGAAATTCAGATGGGATATTAGGTAAAAAGTCTTCACTGAGAGGATGGTCAAGCACTGGAACAAGCTCTTAAGAGAAGTGGTCACAATACCAAGTCTGTTGGTGTTCAAGAAGTATTTGAACAACACACAACTTTATGGTTTAATGGCTTTTTTTGTATGGTTTAACTTTCAGGTTGCCCCATGTGGAAGCAGGAGTTGGACTCAATGACCCTCATGGGTCCCTTCCAACTCAGGATACTCTATGAATCCAAGATTCCAAGTACCAGGGCTCTCAGGCACTGAGTTGTCATTCGTTGCATTTTCGGTTTCTAGATACCTCTGAAAAACGGAGCACATAATGTAGAGCTTCTCCTTTTCACAGACACTTCAGTAAAGCCTTGCTTCTACACCTTATGCTTTGAACTGCTAATAATAGTAATTATAATGAAATCTATTTGCTAATCTTCACATGTATTATGAAACTTTTTTTCTCAGAAGTTTTCTCTAGAGCTATCCTTCACAATTTCCTGAACATCTTTTAAATGTCTGTGGTGTTCTTGGTTTTATTTTAAGGTCTTACTGTACTAACCAGGATTTTCAGAAATCTGTAGTAAATAAGGAGAAATACTTAATGCTTTGCAACCGCAGTGAGCCCAAATAGCATACACTCTTCTTATTTATATATTTTTATACTTTACACTGTATTTAACATTGTTAGGTAGTCACTTTTTCTACACATTTATTTTACCGGGACATATGTTTTGGAAATGTATGTGGTTCTTCCTGGAATGGTGCAATAATTAAAAAATGCAGCAATATCTGGTCCTTGGTATCTGTGCAAGACTCCCATCTATGTTAATGGGAATTTTGTAATGAAGTGAGAACTATGGCTAATTAATAAAATAAAATGAAGATATTGAAATATGTGTTAACAACAGAACACTAATATGGTAG